GCACAGGACGCAAGCTGCAGCATAATAAGGCCCCCAAAATGACAAGAAAAAGCTGCAAATATCTGCACAAAAAGGCCACAAAGAAAAAATGCAAACAGCATAATAAACGTTGCAGTTTTGCTCATTTTTCGTGGCATTTTTGCTGCTGTAACACAGTGAGACCTGTTACATGTTTGTGTTCGTTTAGACTCATTTTTGTCTAAATGCATCCACAGCTGTAGGATATTTAGAGATATTATTCCATATTTGAATATTTACCATTATTTTGGGGTTCGTTTATTGCCAGAAATACACAGTTTAACAATTAATTATGAACAGCTTTGCATTCAGATTTAAATTGAGCCTTGACAGCCCTGTTGGGAATGCTAACACCCACTCCTGTTTAAAATCACAGCGGGAGTCATCCGTCAAAAATCGAAAAAATAAAAGAGGCTTTTTCGCCCTTTGAAGCGTCCTGTCTTATCCAGAGAGAAGAAAATAAGAACTGTTTCTGTGAATCAAAAGACTCATCCTGTGTTTCTCTTCTTCTTCTGCAGAAAAAAAGCAAGATGCACTACCAAATAGCCGTGATCATAAACTTCCTGGGTCACTGCATCTCCATGGTGGCGCTGCTCATAGCCTTCTTCCTCTTCTTGTGTTTGAGGTAAGTGTTGGTCTCGCTGCCACCAGTCCACTGATAATCCCCGATGTGACAGAGACGTCAGTATTTTCCAGATCCCAGTAGGTTCAAAGCGTCTCTGGTTCTTATTCAAAAACCCATTTGGTCATGGGATGAAACCTCCCCTATCTCAATCCCGCAGATGTAAAAAGGGTTTAGACGCCCGCAAAAACTAGGGCACATTTCACCCCACAATTGGGAATAATAGACCCGTCTCAAAACCGGGAGAAAACAGTCTCACGGAGGCCTGCCGGGACAATCGGTGGAGGCGGGAAAGGGTTTCTCTGGCAAACCGAAATAAGCCGTGCATTAACGAGAGAAAGGTCTTAGCACCCTCGACAGCCGGGGCTGTTATCGATCGCCGAGACACCCCCGGGGAGTGAGAAAAGCGTGAAAGGGCACAGAGAGACATAATAAGTAGAAGCTCTACAGGATAGCATTTATGCACAACCTGTGTTTGTGGGCCACAGTGGCATGAATAGAGAGAGGGGGAGGAAGACGTGTCAGGCAGCTAAAAATGGCAGCTGAAGGAGTTTGGCATTTATTACTTACCTTCTTCACTTTGTAAAGAAACTGAGAACCATTTAAAGGAAAGCTGTCTGATGGAGGGAAACGCCGAGGCTGCTGTGCACTGGTGTGGATCTGGGAGGAAGGAGAGGAGCGCAGGGAAGAGCGAGGCGTAATGTTCATTATAAAACAGTGCAATGAGCAGTTTGGCGTGTTTCTTGATAATCTTACTATAAAAGACAGTTTGAAGGGATTCTTTCCACAGAAGCTCACGAGTCTCCCGCTTAATCTAACAACAATGCAGATTTATGCCGCGGACATGAAGTTTAATAAGTTCTGACTGTTTCCAAGAGCTGCATTCATAATCTCCTGTTATTTATCAGAATGGCACATTCCTCGGGTTTGTGCTGGGTTTGAATTCTTTGGGAAAATATGAATTCAAGCTTCAACGGTTTGAAATTTAGGTTATTGTTTGGATTTTTCTCTTTTAGTTGATCTTAGGCTTCATTTCCTGTGACGTCACCGGGTTTTTGATGGTTATTCTAGCGATCAGTCTCAGTTTTGCATCGTGTATTTCAGTTCATGTGTTGGTTTAATTTTGTCCTCCAGGATTCCTTCATCTCTGTCCCCATGTTCACTTTGTTTTGGGCCGTTTTCTTATCTCACACTTGTTAAGTGTTAGTACCCAGGTCTGTTTCATTCGCCTTCGGTTACTTCTTGTTTTACTTTGATAGGGTTTTTATTTCTGCTTCCTGTTTGTCTCCCATCAGTTTTATTTATAAATCCTCAAATATCAGTAACAGTCGCTTCAAGGCACTTTATATTGTAAGGTAAGGACCTGTCAAGATTAGAGAGAAAACAACAACAATCAGACAGCCCCCTATGAGCAGGCACTCGGCGACAGTGGGAAGGAAGAAATCTCTTTTAACAGGAAGGAAGCTTAGGCAGAGCCAAGCTCAGGGAACGGCGGCCATGTGCACAACCGAAAGACACGCTGTGAAAAAGAGCCAGATGATGATTAAATGCAGGGAGCTGTATAAACACAGCCAGCAGCAACATAACTAAGGGAGGATTCAGGGTCACCTGATCCAGCCCTAAATATATGCTTTATCAAAAAGGAAGGTTTTAAGCCCAATGTCAAAAGAAGACAGGGGTGTTCGTCTCCTGAATCCAAACTGGGAGCTGGTCCAGAGAAGAGGGGCCTGAAATCTGGAGGCTCCAAAGAACCAGAAGTAAACCAGCACTTTAAAGTGCTTTATTGTTGTCATGTGGTGCTTTGAGGTCATTAAGATAAGATGGGGCCTGATTAAAACCTTGTATGTGAGTTAAATTAGCTTCTTAATCTGACAGGGAGCCAATGAAGAGGAGCCAGCATGGGAGAAATATGCTCTGTCCTTCTAGTCCCTGTCATTCTCTTCACTTGTCTCATTACCCTCCTGCTGCTCCTTCCATAATCAGCCCTCTTTGATTATCCCATCTTCCACTTCAGGCTTTCTCAAAAGTGTCTGTTATGTTTGGTTATGCTCCCCGTGCATTACCCTCCACGAGTGCCTGGATTTGATTTGTCTTTGTTTGACATTTTAGACTTCTGGAATTTGTTGAGTCCTAAGTGAAAGACTGTTTAAAAACAAGCCATGTGTGGGTGTAGTCCAATAATCCGCACAGTAAACTGTTTGATTACTAATGTCTGTTAATAAATGATTATCTTTGGATTTTGAGCTGTAAGACAAAAGAAGGAATTTTACTTATTCTGCTTAATGAGGACAAGTATGTGGCATGAACTATGCTACACACCACAGCATCTGCAGTGCCCATCCCTAGCTGAGCTTTTACAACGCAGGAGTCAATAAGCAACACAATCCGTGGAATAAATATACACATTAAGAAATACTACTCTCAGAGCACAGCTGAGATATAGATCAGCGGGACAGCACAGGACGCAAGCTGCAGCATAATAAGGCCCCATTTAACAAGGCTGCACATTATTCATGACTGTTCCCAATTTAAAAACACCAAACAGGAAACTGTGTGTCCCGAAATGAGGATTTACATAATGGCACCTTTCAATTTCCAGTAGATGTTACTGAGC